TGTACCATCCTTTTATTTATTTGTTCGTCATGTGTCCATGTAGGGCATCTTATGCTATGGCCGAAGTCTCAGGCCCCATAGGAAAGGACTCTGTTGCGTGGCTCCTTATGAAAGATTGGACATGCCATGCATCAGAATGAAAGTGACAATTATTTTGGACGTGAGTGGCGGTTAGGCATTTGGGACGCGGGGGGCAGTGTGGATTACATCACAGAGCCTAGGACTTGCCGATCAGAAGGTCGGCGGTTCGAATCCCCGTGACGGGGTGAGCTCCCATTGCTTGGTCCCAGCTCCTGCCAACCTAGCAGTTCAAAATCACGTCAAAGTGCAAGTAGATAAATAGGTACCACTCCGGCGGGAAGGTAATCGGTGCTTCTGTGCACTGCTCTGGTTCACCAGAAGCGGCTTAGTCATGCTGGCCACATGACCTGGAAGCTGTACGCCGGCTCCCTCGGCCAATAAAGCAAGATGAGCGCCGCAACCCCAGAGTCGGCCACGACTGGACCTAATGGTCAGGGTTCCCTTTAGCTTTATTGGGAAGCACAGAGGTAGGCTTAGCCCTCGCAGGACAGGAAGTGTAGTTGGGACTCCACTTTGGGGACCAAAAAGTCTTGCGCTGGCACTCCTTCCAGTGTCAGCATCTCCAGGTGCCTCACAACTTTGTTTTTGGAAGAGCCGCCTGACCTGACGAACTCTTCCCATCTCATTCTGAACCTTTGCAGGGTGGGAGGGAGAGAGCCTGCAAACGAACGGACTGGAAAACAAATTAGCCTCATGCAATAGATGTGTTGCTGACTGTACTTCTTCAGGCTGCTGGTACAGAATTAAGTCTTTTAAAGCTGAAAATGCCCCAAAAGTAGTATCCAAGTGGCTTTATAGCCCTGAACTTAGTGCAGGGCCGGATTTATGTCTGATGAGGCCCTAAGCTCCTGAAGGTAATGGGGCCCTTTATACATCCAGCTGTCCTTTGTCAACAACAAATTGCCACTGGTTTTTTTGTGTTGAATATATGCTATATAGTAATTTATGGACCTAATATGTATCTGAAGCCATTTGCACATGCGGAATGTAGGCACCCTATATATAGAAATGAGCAAACCAATGGTATTTTAGGGAGCAGTCTAGCAGGCGGGTCCCATTACTTACATCATAGGAGCCTACACAACTCAAAAAACAGCTGCTGTATGTAGGTTTTATTTTATTTACTTTTTATCTTATATTTTGGTAATGTACATTCAGGGTTTGTTTTTTCCTTTAATTTTTTTTGCCCCCCCCCCCAAGAGAGTGGGGCCCTAAGCTATAGCTTGTTTAGCTTATACGTAAATCCAGCACTGATTTAGTGCCACCCTGACCCTACCCGACCTGATAAGATACCAAAATGCTGGTGAAGGGAAGGTGGTTCTGGTAATGTTATCCCCCCACCCCCCACCCAGGTTTCAGTGTGGCATCGTACAGCCCAGAAACATAGATCCCGTGAAAGTCTTGCTTGTCTTTCTTAATTCATTTGTTGTTGTTGTTTAGTCGTTTAGTCGTGTCCAACTCTTCATGACCCCATGGACCCATAATGCAGTTACTGAGCTGTATAATCTTATTTCTTTCTCTTTTTTCAATGAAACACTGAGCACTGAGGGGCAGGAGAAGACTTCTGTAATTAGGTGGCAAAATCCAGTGAATCTGAGCCAGAACTAGTGGTAGTAAAACTGAAGTCAGTCTAGTTCATTTTGATTACTCCTTTTTTTTTTAAATAGATAGCTTACGAGGAGGCTATCGCCTGCTTTTTTTATATAAGTAACTATGTTTGACATTTCAATTTAGTTCTTACAGCTTCTAATACATTTTTTATCTTGTACTCTTCTGCAGATAATTTACTTCCCAGTGTTTCTGTGTAACAGCAGCTAGGATGAAGAAAATGTTCTCATTTATGTGTAAATTTTGTTAACAAACTCATCTGCATAATCACATTTCTGCCCAACTATTGTGTTGTACACTAGCCGGTTTTTAAACTTTGAAACAGGTCAGCTCAACGTCTTCACAAACCAAAGTGAGAACATCAAATAATAATCTCATTTGGCTGCAAGGGTACCTCTGTCATGGAACTAAGATGGCATATATGGCTTAGGCTTTGTGACAAATGATATTTTTTAAGAGAGTTAAAGGTGACACGATAGAAGCAGCATATCCTATGGCGTACACGTGATAGAAGCAGCATATCCTATGGCGTACACCTGAACCACTGTCGTCTCTATTCAAACAGTGTTTTGAAACAATAGGAAATCTTGCCAAACAGGTGAGCAGAGATGATAGGTGTATATGGTCCATGAGCAATGACAGTTGTTTTAACTGACCTTTGGTGCTCTGAAAAAACTGCTGCCGGTCTCCATCTTTCCTGTTCTATAAATGTTTAAGGTCTTGGCTACATGTTACACACATCACATGAAAAACAGTCACATGTAAGGCAGGCTCTTGACTCTTCAGAATTCTGAAGAGTCCCCTCAAGACAGGTAGAGAAATATCTCACCTGTCTCACCTGTTGTTGTTGTTGTTGTTGTTATAATTATTAATATATATTTATTTCTATCCTACCTTTTTATTGACAGGGACTCAAGGTGGCTTACAGATAATAAGAATTGATAAAAACATAGAAAAAGCAATCATTAAAGAAACTCTCTCTCTGTGTGTGTGTATATATTTATATACACATACAGTAGTACCTCGGGTTACATATGCTTCAGGTTACATAGGCTTCAGGTTACAGACTCCGCTAACCCAGAAATAGTACCTCGGGTTAAGAACTTTGCTTCAGGATGAGAACAGAAATCGCGCGGTGGTGGCACAACAGCAGCGGGAGGCCCCATTAGCTACAGTGGTGCTTCAGGTTAAGAACAGTTTCAGGTTAAGAATGGACCTCCGGAACAAATTAAGTACGTAACCAGAGGTACCACTGTACAGAGACGCGGGTGGTGCTGTGGTCTAAACCACTGAGCCTCTTGGGCTTGCCAATCAGAAGGTCGGTGGTTCGAATCACCGCGACGGGGTCAGCTCGGTCTCAGCTCCTGCCAACCTAGCAGTTCGAAAGCACGTCAAAAAGTGCAAGTAGATAAATAGGTACCACTCTGGAGGGAAGCTAAACGGCATTTCCATGCTCTGGTTTTGGTGTTCCATTGCGCCAGAAGCGGCTTAGTTATGCTGGCCACATGACCTGGAAAAACTGTCTGCGGACAAAAGCCGGCTCCCTCAGCCTGTAAAGCAAGATGAGCGCCACAACCCCAGAGTCGTCTGCGACTGGACTTAATTATCAGGGGTCCTTTACCTTTGCCTTTATATACACATAGATACACATACACATACATACATACAAACATACATACATACATGGGAGTTGTGTGCTCCCTATAACGAACCCCAGTCAGCAATCTGGCTGCAGCGCTTTGAGTCAGTTGAAGTCTCTGAGCCCTTTTCAAAAGCAGCCCCACACAGAGCATGTTACAGAAATCCAAATGGGATGTAACCAAGGTGTGTGCTTATCAGTTTTTCTTTTGTTTATATTATTTTTGATATTCCTTATTTATTGTATTGCATTTCTATCCTGCCTTTCTTCCATCATGGAACTCAAGACTGTGTGGTCCACTCATTGAGGACCAGACCCTGCCTTGCCTAGCTTCAGTAAGGAGATGGCCTCAGAGATGGCCTCTTGGAACTCTCCCCTGGGACTAGGAAACATTTCCCCAGAGCTCTGCAGCCTCCTCAGCTGCCTGCATTTCCTAGTCTGAAAAAAGCCCTGTGGGAGGAGTTACCTCATGATTTCTCCCCCTGGGCTTGACTGAGGCAAAGTGCAGACCAGCAACGAAATAATTTGTGGAATGAATGGCCAAACTACCTCTAAAATAAGCACAATTTCTCTGAAATGTTCTCTCCCCATTGATAATGTTTGAACGCAGTTTCTTATATTATTAACTGATGGTTGTGATGGCAGGGGTGGGGAAGAGAAATTCAGAGAAGCACTAACAGGAAAACACAGACTTTATGACTGAGTCATAGCCTAACACTTTATCCCTTATGCCACACTAACTTTCATTTTAGCAGCATGGCAGAAGCCTGGAGTGGTCCAGTCCTACAGGGAACTTGGTTGGCATCTGTCTGTCTTGGGAGACAAAAGAGAAGTGTGCCTTTGAGGGTAAAGTCAAATGGTTGTAAGGTTACAGTGCCTGCTGTGGCTGTAGAGACTGATACAAGAGATATGTTTTGTTGCAGCTGGGGCAGATGGAGGTTTTGTTGCAGCTGGGGCACATGCAGTATGGCGTTTCTTCTCTCTGTGCTCCTCCCACTGGTCATTCCTCCTTTGGTCACTGTGGCGTTTGCCCATTCCTTGTGATTTTGTTGGCACAGGGGGATGGAAATGGTTAATGTAGATTGACCAATGAGAAAGCTCAGAGGCGGAGCCTACCTGGTTTTGAGGCTCAGCCCAGGGGTTTTAGGAGATAGAGGAGTCAGAGTTAGATAGAGCCAGTAAAAGGCGAACATAGCGGTTGTGACAGCTAGAGTGAGAGAGAGCGATAGAATTGAGAGAGAAGAGTGTGACAGTGTGAGATAGTGCCACATCTAGTTAAGGGCGCACATCTGAGAAACTGTTCTGAATATATTTAAAACTTGTTTGTTCTTCAATAAACTTTAATCTTCGTTGTTGACTTTACAACCTGACTGAGACTCAGTATTTCACCAGAAGAAACCTGGTTGGTGGCAGCGGAAGAATAAAGCAGTGGTGTACAGGTCTATAGTCCATTAAACGACTGGGGGCTCTGTACAAACGCCACAGTTACCAACCTTTTTTTACCATTTGTGCCACAAGTCAGCTCCACCATACGATGGGGTCATCCTGGTGAACAGCACAGAAGCTATTTGCCTTGGCATGTTTTTCATCTCTTAGAATCATAGAGTTCTTGAGTTGTGAGGGAACCTGACGATCATTTGGTCCAACCCCCTGCAATGCAGGAATATGCAGTTGTCCCACATGGGGATCAAACCTGTGACCTTGACATTATCAGCACCATGCTCTAGCCAACTGAGCTAGATCTTGATTGCTGAAAACAAGCACTGGTGTATCAGTTGGCAGGCGAGACAACAGAAACTTACAAATCTCTGCTGACTGTGTCTCTTGTGACACATCTGCAGCAGGTTAGCCACCCATATAATCAGGGGTGCCAACTTGAATAAAATATTGTGGGGGGCAAGGAAGCCCTGATTATAATCAGTCACATGGCATGGTGCACTGACACCATTTGAATAGCAATGTCCATCAACTTGGGCTGTGTGTGTGTCCCTCAAATATTTTATGGAGGGGCAAAGACCCCTTGGCCCCTAGGAGTTGGCTCCTATGCATATATATTGTCTGGATTTTTTCTGCTCTAGAGCAGGGGTAGGCAACCTAAGGCCCATGGGCCGGATGCGGCCCAATCACCTTCTCAGACCAGCCCATGGATGGACAGGAAATCAGCGTGTTTTTACATGAGTAGAATGTGTGCTTTTATTTAAAATGCATCTCTGGGTTATTTGTGGGGCATAGGAATTCGTTCATTATTATTTTTTCAAAATATAGTCTGGCCCACCACATGGTCCGAGGGACAGTGGACCAGCCCACAGCTGAAAAAGGTAGCAGACCCTTGATTTAAGGCTTCATGGGGGTTTATTTTCCAACTTCATGGTCACTCGATGCAAGCAAATAATGTTTAAGGGATGGATGGATTACGAGGCTGCTGAAACAGAGGTGATAAATTTCATCAGGCCTCAGCTCTGTACTAACGCCACAGTCACTGCTGTGGATACAGGACCTGACTGTCTATCGCCAGTCACTTTGGTCATTTGCAAGGGATTCCCACACGGTGGGGTTAATGTCACACTGGTAGACATCTTTGTAATGCAGAGTTGGTCCACCAATGGGCCTGGGGTCCAAATACAACTCCCCTTGGAGCACGTCCTTGGGGATCCTGCTATCTTCCATTTTGTAAACATGCCCAAGCCAGCATAGATGTCACTAAGACATGCTGGGAATGTGGGAGAGCAAAGTGCTCTGGAAACTTATGGAAACAGGATGGGATAGGCAGTGCTGCTACTGGGAGTAGCCCAGAGACCACATTCGTCATGCCTGGTCCTGTTTCCATGGATAGATTAAGGAATTGTTATCCTTCAAAGCAGTCTAAGACGTTTCTGTCACAAAACAGCGCTGAAACATATGGAGTAACAATTACATAAGGCATCAATGGCATATTAGCTACAGATTAAAGAATCACAAATTTTGCAGGTTTGGGGGCAAGAACAAGCTAAAAAGAAACACTGTGTGCTTATTTATTAACCAGTTGTCTACACACAGCATCTGTTTACATTAGTAACATAATTACTGTGATAATAAGCTCATTGATTTAGTATCTGAGGAAATAATCAATCAGGACATCACATTTGTCTTCCTTTACTTGACAGCCCATCTTCCACAGTGAATAGACAATGTTAATCCTTGCCATTGTTTCAGAGAAACAGAGCAGCAACTGAAAGAAGCCTTTAAAAAAGGGACAGCAGATCCTGAAGTATAGTTTGTGACAGGGAGGAAGAACCATCAGGACCTGGGCAAAATGCTATCCCTTAGGCATGGCACCATGAAACCCAATATCAGACATGCAGAAAGCAGCTGCAGTCCATCAGCAAGAACATGAGCAGCCACATGAGTTTAGCTTCTACTCAGTTCAGACTGAACAAAGGAGAGGAAATTTGTGGAGAATTACCCTGCTTTGTATGTGGAGAACCAGCTTCTATTTACCACTGCTGATTCGCCAAGTGTGGGGAGGAGTTCCTATTTTCCTCCCACTCCCAACATTGTCTTATATTTCAAAACCTTCTAACCACTACAACCATAAAACTATTCTATACAGTTTACCAATGCCTTTGAATATAAGCCAGCTGTGGTACTTCAGACATAGTACATAACTAGCCAGACACACTTTATAAGTAAATTAAAATATCACAATGTTCTTTATTTATTACTGTTTATGAATAATACTGTTTTTAAATAATAAATAAGGTAAATATGGTAGTTGTGCATAAGAGTGATGTGGCTGAAGTAGTGCCTGAATTGGCTTTACATTTCTAAAAAGTAATCGGAAAAGGCTGTTGGTGGATAAACATTTTCTAAACTCGCACTATTAGAAGTAGAGTGTCACCTAATGAAAGAAAATCTATTATTCACATGACTTTTAATCCACAAATCGTTTACAGTGCAATCCTATCCGTGTCTACTCAGAAGAATATCCCATCAAATACAATAGCATTTACTACTAAGTAAGTGGGTATAGGACTGCAGCCTAAATCAATTAAATCTGCATACATTTGCATACCAGTAAGAAAGGCAGTCATTCTGGAAAGGGGGGGGAGTACCTTGCTTTTAGATCATATATGTAATTGTAGACGCATTGAATTAGGTGATATCTTAGAAGAGATATGTTTTCCATTGTGTGAAGAAGGAAGAATACGTCTTCTAAAATGTTGCCTGCTATCACTATTTTTTGTAAGTACCTCGATTAAAAAAATCTGAAGGTTCTTTAAAAAAAACCAAAGTTCTACCCAATTATCTGGAAACATCTTTTAAATTGATCAGAAGATTTTTCAATTGACTAATCTGACCAATGAACTGACTAAACATTTCAGCCCTGTTAGTAAACTCTCATTCATTTATCAGCCTCTTTATGGTATAATCTAGAGGAAAATGCATTAAACTGAAGTGGTGCTGATCATTCTGAGACATATAACATTGATTCATGTGGGATTCTAATGTGTTGTTGCATATATATTTTTGGGTTAAATTCTCCTTTCCTTTGGCCTTAGAGCATCTCCGTAAAAATTCCACGCTTACAGGATCCTGTCAAGGCCACGTCTACGTACATGTGGTGCTCTGATACGCAACACTCCCATCCCCCAAGATTTAGGATACAGTTAGAGATTTTGAGAAGCTGTCTTATGGAAACGGAGTCATTCTCATGTGGTGAAGGGCCTCTCCTGCCAGCATAACACCTCCTTAGTCTTGGGCTGTGACAGCCAGGCGCAGCCCCAGATTCCTAACAGTAGAGTTAAGACGTATAAATATAGACTTTGAGATATGTTGACCAGGAAAGGCACATTACCGCAATGAGGAGGGAGGCAAACATTGAGGAATGGGGCAAGGCATGTTCTATGGTTTATATGTAGTCCATTGTGTTGGGACAACTCTACGATGCCCTCTCTTTAAAGGAGCATGGGAATGACCCTTTGTGCTGTAGAAGCATAAGCTCTCTTTGGTCTATGGTTCTAATCTCAGGCACTCTGTTTTTAGAACCCAAAAACACAACTACTGCTAATTGCTATTTAGCTCTCATGTAGCAAGCATCATCCATCATCCTCCAAGCAGTATATACACAAGAGGGTATCATTATTGCTATTTTAAGACATCGGCTCATCAATATGTTGACTCTGATATATACTATAAAGTTGGAGTCGGCACAAAAAGGAATTTCATTGAACCTACCAAGAAAGTGTAATTTCCCACATCTGGGAATTGCCTCTCAGAAAGTTTGGGGGAGCGGAAACACCTCCAATCAAATGCTTTTTCCTAAAGATGCCACGTTAGGAAGGGACACTGAAAGCTGACGTTCCGCCTTCCCAAATAATCTGCACTTTTACTGGACAGTGACTCAGGCCTTTCCTCTCACTTGCTACCAGAACCTTTTAAAGATGGAAGGGCCAGGAATTCAGCATAGTGCTTCCTGTATGCATAGCTTGTGCTCCCATGAATACAGTCCCTGGAAAGAGGAGCCCATATCTTTAAGAGTGTTGATGACCTATACTGCTATTGTACAATGTTACCTTGGGTTACAAACACTTTGGGTTACAGACTCCACTAACCTGGAATTAGTACCTCGGGTTAAGAACTTTACCTCAGGATGAGAACAGATATCTTGCAGCAGCAGCAGCAGCGAGAGGCCCCATTAGCTAAAATGGTACCTCAGGTTAAGAACGGTTTCAGGTTAAGAACGGACTTCCGGAACAAATTAAGTTCGTAACCAGAGGTACCACTGTACTTACATTACGAGAGAACCCAAGGCAGGTTGTTCTTTGTTTCCTAACCAGATGCAGTCTTAACAGAAGTGTGGCCTCACAGCTAATCTAAATTCTAAATTCCGGAAGGCTGACAGCTGGCCTCTTTCTGCTGATCAAGAAACTCTGAAAAGCAGTGGTTTGTGCTGTTGGTTGTCCTCCTTGATTCTTCAAGAGGATTTTAGGCTTGCATACAAATGTTTTATATAGCTATATATTCCACTCATTTTTTTTTAACATTGAAAGAAAGGCCTGTTAAATCAAATAAAAGAGGGAGGGCTTGGGTGATGTGTTGCGTGGGCATAATCATAAATCAGGTATTTATTGACATATGCCAGTGACAGCTGTAAAACATCCAATTTTTCCCCTTTAACTCCGTTGGATAGAAGTCTTGAAAGGTCTGTTCAAAGCCCAGTCTCTTCTCATCAGACAAATGAAGTTTATTCAGATGTAATCCCTCAGCCACAAAGTTCCCAAGACCACTTCAGGTAAACAGAGGCTTGCAAAGTTTGCACCATCAACATCAAAGCTATTTTGATATCTCTTCTGTGCTTGGCTTGTGGCCCTTGACATCGCGTAAGTGTTTACTGACACCTCTTCCACTGAATATTTTTAAGTGCTAAACATTAAGATGCTGGGCAGGGATCTTTTTATATGAAAAGTAGCTGCAGGTGGACAGAAACATGATGCTTCTTAAGGAGTCATTTCCTGAAATTTTATGGTGGTCAACAACCTTGGCCTTTTGTACTTTTTCTTTGCCAGTGACCCAGATCACACAAATTCCATTGCTACTTCTGTGGGAGGTTTTGGGGGGTTTATTTTTACCACTGCCCAACTTTTTCTAATCTCACAGCTACCCACCAAACCTCAGACTCCTGACATCCTACATTCCCAAGCAAATCATGGGGGCAGCAGTGTTGGCTGACTACACTGTTCAGAACAGCTTGATGTACACACTGT